TCTTTCTGCGGGATCAGAATAAGGTTTTTATTAACTAATAAATCTACGTTCAAATATACCATCTATTTCCGTTCTTATAAATTAATCTATTAAAATGTTTTAAGTCCCATGGATGCTCAGCAGCCTGATACTCATCAGTGTAGTCCTGTCCTGCTGTCGTGAGGAAGTTGAATGTGTTTCCAGCACTCCAGAAATTGGGACTTATCAAGTGACTGGTGGTCAAGGAAGAACTAGCTGGTATTGTCTTTAGAGACAATACTACTTGCAAGTAATTAATACAAGTAGTGAGACTAAAGAAGGCTAAGGGAAGATGGTAATGGTGACGGGATAGGTAAATAACACATGAGGATAGACTGAAAGGTGAGAAATAAGGAAGATGAGAAACTATTGACATTTGAGGGAGATGAAGTTTAAAGATCAAAAATATTTTACCTGGAAAAATCTTTCCATAAGTGAGATAAGACTGTACTTAAAGAAAAATAAATTCTAAATTGGATAAAAGCAGGAATATAGAAGAGAAAAATAACTTTAAAAATAAGCTGAGGAAGTTCACACTTTCCAGTTGAGCAAGTAAATTTAAATCTATATAGAATGATTTACTTCCCATTTAGAAAGGGAAACGTTTTGACACTGGACTTCCAAACTTGCAATGAAAAGTGCTGATTTTCAGAAGCACTATGTCTCCAGGTGTTACGTGCATGATGCTGTTCTTTTGACTGGGTGAAGGAAAATAACAACCTAACCTTCCAGACAAGCGAACTGTTTGTTTTTTCTCTTTCATGCTACTGTGCTCCTGCCGCTGCTTCAATAGGTGGCAGTAGGCGATATTGTGAAGGTCACCAATGGGCAACATCTTCCTGCAGACATGATCATTGTATCTTCCAGGTATCCTGAGTGGGTATGAAATGATGCATCTGATGAACTGAGGCGCAGAGGACTCTAAACTCTGTAGTTGCTATTACTAAAAACAGATATTGAATGGCACTTCTTCTTTTCCACATGTGAAATCACACTTCAATGATATCAAAACAGTGCTTTTGTAGTCGATGATTCGTGTATCATTGATTTGTTTTTGTAGATAAGCTCTTAAGAAAGATGACTTTCTTGAAGAAAGTATCATATACTTGCAATAAACAAAATGAGTTGTTGGTTTGGAAGAGGGGAAGGTCTGCTGCACAGTCGTGATACAATCAGTTCATCTGAGGCCTTCCAAGGAACATTTAATCAAGAAAACTTACTCTTAAGTTTTATTCCAGTTAATTTCACTGAATTACCAGCATGTTTTTCTGCCCTTGGGGTTCAAGACCTCTTCTAAAGTTGCTCAGAAATAGTAATTTCAGAAGCTTAGCCCAACTGGCATCTAAATAACTACTCTGCAAAATAGCACTTGGACTTCATTCACTTGTTCCTTGCGCCACACATGTATTGCGTAGCCCCTAGCACTGTAGCAATAGCAAACTTATGTACTTCTCATTTTTCCTTGTGAAATATAGGACAATTTGTTTATACAAACATATTAGAAAGTGATGGCTAGTTGCTGGGTCCTAGAAGCACTTCCCGGTGCGGGAGTTGACCAATGCCACTGATTATCTTTAGCACAGGGCAGCAGCCACTTATCTAGCATCTATTTTTTGTCAGACAACTTGGAGCGAAGACAACACCACTATCCATTTAGGGAGCAGAGAAGTGACCAAGATGATAGTGGCGTTCCTGCTTGTGACTTTGCTTTTCTGAAGTACAGACATACCTTATGACACCTTGATCTATTCCATAGGTTTTTTCCCCTCCCCATACTTAGCATAGCAGTGGCTGTAGGTTGCTCTGATTGCTAGGTCACGGTTTTCCCGGGTGACCCAACTTCTAAGGAAGCTTATTTTCTAAGCTACTGCCTCTTCTGCTGCACTGCTGTTGTCTTTTTCCAGTCTTTGGATGTTTTATTTCTTGGGCACACAGTTGCACTGTGATAATGGGACTGGTCCTGTTGAAGACTGTATGGGGGAAAGCTCAGTCTGCTTTGTCATGTGATCAAGGATGGAGGTACCCTTATTCCCATGGTATACAATATTGCATTTTTAAAATACAAAACAAAAACTAAGCTCTTAAATGAGCGGCTGTCCGCCTTAAGTACAGTTAGTGAAACTACTTTGACATCAATAACTTCCTGTTCCAGCACTGAGGAGGATTTGCTCTACCTGAGGAACTGCTCCTTTAATGTTTTATGCTAAAAACTTCTGTTTCATGCCTTAACTTGCATGGATCACTTCTTGTTCTATTTTATTCTACTAACCCGTTGATATCTGTCAAACTCATATATAATAAATGAAGTATTTAGGCCAAAGTGTTGATTTGGGAAAAACTTCACTTAGAGTAAATAGCAAATTCTATGGCAGTTCTACTTTTACAATTGGTATTATTCCTATGATTCTTTTGAATGGCAATGCTAATTGTCCTCAGTTCACCAGAAGGCTCTGCATGCTCTGGAAGGGTGGGCTTTTGCTTATATATAAATTTTCTGTGTCTGAGTTAACTGTCAGAATTGAAATAGTCTTTTTTAAAATCTTGATTTTTCTTTTTTTTTCCTACTCCCATAGAAGAAAGGTGACATCAAATGCATGTTATGCACAGAATAAATTTACTTAAAAGGAAAAATATGATTTAGATCCAAACAATTTTCATTTGTTATGCAATATTTCTGCAGAAATGTGGGAAAAGTGGGGAACTGCATCGTAAGAGTTCTCTCTACTGAATTAACTATCTCAGTTGTAATGGATAAGATGTTTGTGGTAAAAGTAAAATTGATATCAAGTTGAACTTAATCCATGACTTCAGGTTGCCCGTACAGGAGGACACAAGTACGAACTCTGCATCTTTCTTCTTTGGGGAGCGGGGGGGGGGGAAACCAACTTCTCTGGAGAGAAAAATCTAGCTTATATTGTACATGTGCTTGTCTGTTTCTTAACCAAGTTTTTGCTATGGAGTCCTTGTGTTATTGACTCTTTTACTGATTAACTACATCTACTGGTAAAGTAATTAGTTATTTTTAGAAAGCAAATAGCAGTATTTCAAGACTGAGAAAAGTGATAAGCTGAGGAGTGTGTGTATTTGGGCCCAGATGGGGAATTAGTGCTCCTTAACAGCCTGAGAAACCAGTGAAAAACCCATTAGTGGTGCTGTATAGAGGATCTAAAAACCTTTAGGGACATGTCAGGAATTGATCCATGTCAGAGGTGTGTTTCTGTATCAGGTGCTACCAACATAGAGGTCTTCCACGTTAGGTGTAGGTAAGACCTCAGCTAATGAAAAATGCACTCTTCCACGAGGAAGAAAAGTTTTTGCCCTTATTGGTAAGGGCAAAAGCATCTCTATAAGATGCAGACCACAGCCCTCAGTTTCAAACTCACTGTGCCTTTCTCTGATTCTTAAAACAAGCTGCTTAGCAGCAACTTCAGATGAGAAACTCGTGGAGGTACAACTTGTAAGTGATTTTGTGGCCGTGACCTTCTGTGTTCACAGCCAGAACTCAACAGTAGAGGGCGCATTAACCACCCTCTTTATCCAAGTGTATTTCCTTCTTTCACTGTTTGTTGCTTTGCAGTAGCTTTGTGAGGATAAAACACTGCCTGAAATATTTTACGTTACAATCTACAAAATTATTCCACTTCTAGCATTTGTAATTTTAGCAAGAATTATTAAATCTTTATTTACCTTTTGGTTTAGACATATCTGTCTTCATAATCTGTTTTCAGAGACTGTTTATCTCCAAAGATATTTTTGCAAATTGAGCACTTTCAGCTGACTCTTTTGTGGTCATACACCACCATATTTGATTTTTATACTGCACAGTATGTTGAAGATGTATATTGTGGATCATTTAATGTCAAAGTAGCTTACAAACAGTAACAGTCTTAAGTGTTCAACATTGAATATCTTATTGTGCTCCTTACAGTGAACCTCAAGCAATGTGCTATATTGAAACAGCTAATCTTGATGGGGAGACGAATCTTAAAATACGACAGGTAAAATGAAAAATTGAATTTGTCAGTCTTTCTTTAGGTATGTAGTGTTAGCTACAGAGCATACAGTTTACCTTGTGTGATAACAATATAGATACTGTTTAATAAAACTGTATATCTCTGACAGCTGTAAGCCTTCTTGCAACAGATTAAAAAAAAAGCAATAATATATCATATATGTCAGGTTTATGTCTAAGGACCTAATCTGGAAGGAATGGCTTAAGCCCACAAAACTAAATTAAGTGGACCTTGGCTGTAATTCTTTTTGCTGATGGTCCAAGCACTCCCTGGGCCTATCTGTCTGCTTGCTAGTTGGAGTGCTAAATTGTGTCAGACTAATGCAAGGCATTTCAAGCGCTTGAGGTTTTTCCACTGCCTCACTAAGCTGAGCACAGCTCCAGTGACTTGAGGAGGTGTTGAGGCACCCACTCTTAGATGTGTGTGGACTACTGTGTTTTGTGGCTGGGACAAGCCTGGAATGGATTTTCTTGTGGATGGTTTACTTTGAGAATTAATTGTAGCTCCTGTGTACACACTCACTGTAGATGCAGAAGCCACAAAACTATAACTAAAACCTAGAAACTGGACTTAATTTCTTTTTATTGCCAGCTCCCTTGATAACTAGGATCTGTTGATAGAGGGTTTGGAATAGGCCTTCAGTTGACACTGGGGGGTTTCTTATTCCATGTTGGTGCATTTGTGTACCCTAAAACATCATCGATTTTTATGCAGAGTTTGAGATTTTTATGCAAAAGCATTTCTTGAATACAAGAGTGATTTTGTTTATTTGAGAATATTTTTCTTTTTGTTTTCTCCATTTTTGGAAAAATGGAAATTCTCATATGCTGAAGTAAAAGTTAACACCACCAGCCATTGAAATTGTAGGTGTAAGGTGAGCCGATTTCTGCCCATTAATGGCTGTATTTTTATCAGGTAATTACCTCAAAATATTGCATTTTTATTGGGAAGCCTAAGTATTTTTCAGTGAGTCAGTTTGGCTGAGAACTTCAGAAAGAAGTTGCATTGAAACATAGTACTTCCCAAGAGTCTTCAGTGGTCACAAGTGTTTTGAAGTTCCATAGTTAAGCAAAAAACCTTTGTGGTCAAAGCTATAGTTTCTGCTGTCACTAGTGTTGGTCTGTCTATTATTCTGCCTCTAATGAATGCTCATAAGGACTTTTCAGTGTTTCAAATTGAGACATATTAATTGGCACGCATGTATTTTGTTTTTTGTGAAAAAGCTTTATGCTTGCTGCTGGCTTACTACCTTTGGAGAAATAAGATTTTCAGTTTTGGGTCAGACCAATAGATCAGGTCTTGAGTTTCTGTCATTTTATCCAGAAGTGAACAAAATCTATTTCAAATACCAAAATAAGTTTAAAAAAAGCCTAGTCCTGTTGTGTAGCGCTACAGTCAAACTCTGGCAAAAGAAATGAGAAGTGAGAACAAAGTGCTACCAGCTCGAAATGGGTCATTCCTCACCCAGGTGAAGTTTTTCATAGATGAAAAGCAATGGAGTATTGTGTGTGTGGTGTCTTAGATGGAGTAAGCTGTATGCTAGGTTACAGTTGCATGGCATGTTGAAAATTAGTCTTGAATAGGATCAGAGCACAACTTCTGCAGTGACCTAGGAGATTCGCTCAGAAGTGACTATATTTAGCAGCATTAACGTATCAGCAGAGCTATACTCTGAAAGAAAAGCCAAGACTTCTTATACTAACCTCTTCCTACTTCTTCCTGCATGTGTGCAGTATTGTGCTTTGTGGAGGTGACTTTCCTCCTGGATACTGAGAGATTGTGTATGTAACTGACTCTTGAGTAGAAATTTATGCCAGGCCTATACGAACACAGCCATCTGTCTCCATCATGGAGAAATTTTTCTTGTGGAGAGGCATCACTGAAAACTCACTAAAAACAACAACAAAAGCAAACAAAGCTACACCCTCAAGAAGTTTAAAATCTTAAATGTTGAAAGTAATTGCAGTTTTCCTAGCTTGCCTTCTGCTAACAAAATGTTTTGCAAGTATCTCCTTTGGATTCGTTTCTGCAGGGATTGTCTCAAACTGCTAGTCTTCAGTCAAGAGAAGAATTGGTGAAAGTATCTGGAAGGATAGAATGTGAAGGACCTAACAGGCACCTCTATGACTTTGTTGGAACCTTGCGCTTAGATGGTCAAAGGTATCAACTTGACAGCAAAACCATAAATTTCTTTGTTTAGGAAAAACATGTTTGCTTTCTGTCTGCAACACTGAGCATATTTGTGGCTTTAGAGGTAATAATTAACAGCTGTGAAATGGATCATCTACTGATATGAAATGACATATTTCTGTCTTCCTGTGGGATCTTGAGCAGTAGAGGTCTGTAACCTGGCGACTAGGGGCCTGGGTTTTCATGGAAGCTCTGCGAACACTATTTGCTTGTTGTGGGAGAGATAGCTTCTCTAGAATTGTATTTTCTTAATAAGTGACATGGGAGGGAAGAATGGGAAATTTTTTTAGTTTGTTTTTTTGAGTTGTCTTGTTGCAGATATGTGGAAAAAGCTAGAAGCCTTTCCTTTCCAACAGGAGCCAGATACTCCATCATATTCAGATCTGCACAGAAAAGCCATTCCAGAATCTGAAAGTCTCTATCATTGTAACTTTAATCTGTTTCAGCTATTGGAAGAAAAGAACTTCTGAAAGTATGGGGTTTAGTACTTCAATTTGTAGATCTTTAAGGGTCAGTAAGAGTATACAGGCTTCATCTTACACAAAAACTGTACTCCTTGGGCAACTTAGCTGAATAGTGACAGAAGCCAGAATAGTAGAAAATCACCTGCTTCCCACTGGACAGTCACATGGGCTGTACAGTGTTCCCAAAACGCTGGTTACATGACTACTGTGAGGTTATAATGTGTTATGGGTTTTGGGAGGTGGCAGCAGCTCTGTTGTGTAACCTTACTGCCCTTAACAGGGATTAGGCTTTCAGAGCACTGAAACTTGTGTATTATGTGGACAGTGTAAGATTTATGGCTCATTAAAATACTTTCTTCCTTTTAATTTTTTTGAGGAAGTAAGGCTGAAAGGAGAAAAGTGTTATCAAGAATTAAAAGATGTACTTGCTTCTTGCTTTCCAGTCCAGTTTCTGTTGGTCCTGACCAGATCTTGCTAAGAGGTGCACAACTGAGGAACACTCAGTGGGTCTTGGGTATTGTCGTGTATACAGGACATGATACAAAACTCATGCAGGTAAAACTTTTGGGAGATTTGAAGCATGTTTTCATAGAAGTCAGTGTTTTTCTTTATTTTGCTTGTTTTTAGAACTTGTTTATGAAATAAAGGCTTGACACAGCTGTTTAAGACAGGCTTTGAGGGACGTAAGTTGTAGATGCCTCACTAATATATATATCTGTGTATATATATATATATATATATCAAAACAGTACAATATGTAAGCAAAACTAACTGTATTAATCTAATGACTTGCCTGGTAGCTGGACTGCATCTAAAATTTTGTGAGGTTTTGCAGCTGAGGAGGTGCATTGACCACCTTCTGCCATTTTAGGACTTTGAGATAATTAGGTTAAAACTACAGTCTTTGCATTGCCTTAATGGCAAGGAGCGACTGAGGACCAGCAGCATGCATGTGCTGCTTTGCTCTGCCAGCCCTCAGTGAGATGGGCAGAGAGCGGATGAGTGTACTGGATCTTTGCAAGCAAATAGTTCTTTTCTTCCCACCTCCTGTCATTTTGGAATCACTAGGCATATTGACTGCTATTTCTATCTTGTTGAACTTTGAATACAATATGAGCGAGGCAGAGTTGAAGTGGCAAATTCTGTAACTAACTCTAAAAGTTAAGACCAAGTTTGCTTCTGCAATCTCTTCCTCCAAACCTTTTTCTGCTGCTGTTCAGAATTCAACCAAAGCACCTCTGAAGAGATCAAATGTGGAGAAAGTTACCAACATGCAGATCCTGGTGTTGTTCTGTATCCTCCTGGTCATGGCCCTTGTGAGTTCTGTAGGTGCCTTATTATGGAACAGAACCCATGGTGAAGTCGTCTGGTACCTTGGTTCAAATGGTGAGTATGCAAGCAGCATAGGTTTATGAAATAAAGGCTTGACACAGCTGTTTAAGACAGGCTTTGAGGGACGTAAGTTGTAGATGCCTCACTAATATATATATCTGTGTATATATATATATATATCAAAACAGTACAATATGTAAGCAAAACTAACTGTATTAATCTAATGACTTGCCTGCTAGCTGGACTGCATCTAAAATTTTGTGAGGTTTTGCAGCTGAGGAGGTGCATTGACCACCTTCTGCCATTTTAGGACTTTGAGATAATTAGGTTAAAACTACAGTCTTTGCATTGCCTTAATGGCAAGGAGCGACTGAGGACCAGCAGCATGCATGTGCTGCTTTGCTCTGCCAGCCCTCAGTGAGATGGGCAGAGAGCGGATGAGTGTACTGGATCTTTGCAAGCAAATAGTTCTTTTCTTCCCACCTCCTGTCATTTTGGAATCACTAGGCATATTGACTGCTATTTCTATCTTGTTGAACTTTGAATACAATATGAGCGAGGCAGAGTTGAAGTGGCAAATTCTGTAACTAACTCTAAAAGTTAAGACCAAGTTTGCTTCTGCAATCTCTTCCTCCAAATCTTTTTCTGCTGCTGTTCAGAATTCAACCAAAGCACCTCTGAAGAGATCAAATGTGGAGAAAGTTACCAACATGCAGATCCTGGTGTTGTTCTGTATCCTCCTGGTCATGGCCCTTGTGAGTTCTGTAGGTGCCTTATTATGGAACAGAACCCATGGTGAAGTCGTCTGGTACCTTGGTTCAAATGGTGAGTATGCAAGCAGCATAGTGTCACTGTATCAGCAGACTGCAGGGCTAGCTAGGCTCTCAGTTTTTTTGAATAAATACGTAAAGTAAGAAATAAAGAGAAAAACATAAGAAACTAAGCGTGTCACTAATTTTTGGTGACCCAATATATTTTGGGAATAGACTGGAATAGCTTTTAACTTTACTAGTAAAGTTTCTGTTAAAAATACTTTCCGAAGATTGGCTAAATACCACTCGGCTGCTGTCTGAGGGAGAAGTAAATCAGAAGAGAGGCAAGAATGATTCTGGGGCGTTTGGCGTACAAATACTCCCAGAGACGCCATGCAACCAAGGTTCCGAAAAGTTTATTTTTAGAGTAGGTCAGTATTGCTGCCTTATCTGTCCTATCTGATTGTACCTCATTACAGGATAGTCGGTATCAGTCTGATGGTACTGACTTCAGCTTTATGCCTCTTTACATGAGAAAAGGATTTATCCAGCTGTCCTTGTCTATGGTTTACCATTAGACTCACTGACCTCCTGTCACTGACGTTGTGGAGAAAACTGTTAAAAGCATGCTAAATATTATGACTGTATTCTGCATTATGTTATTTTAAGAGACACTTTGGATTCTGACTTTTGTGTCACTTTGAGGACAAAACTGATCTCTTAGCGTGCTTATAAAAGGGTTTTATTTGTTTTCATTTATAGTCCTTAGATTTATCAGTTTAGATAAAGATTTGGGCCTTATGCAAACACTTAAGGATGAAATAGAAATTGCTGTGCAACAGAGACTTACAGTTTATATTAGCTAGCTATAAAATGAGCTTGAGGCATCTTGAGATGCAGATCTAAAAACAGTTCTCACGAAACTGCAAACGTTCTTTTTACTGGTAGTGGTAAAGCAGACGGCAAAGGCTGTCTTCTGTTTCAGATGAACTTCTAATTGTTATAATAGTATTAAATCCCTTTTCTAGAAGGAGCATGGGAGCATCTCATATTTGACTCTGGCTTCTGGTAGCTTTAATGATGTCTTCTAGTAGCAGTAGCAATGACTTTCAGTCTCTTCCTCACTATCCCCCTTGTTTTTAATGAGGAAGCTTGAATTTGTGGCTTCTAAGGACTGAAAGAAGTAATATCGGCAAAGGCAATTGGAACATCAAACTCTTACATTAGCACAAGTTCAGAAGAGGTGCAGTTTGACTGAAGCCGGTGGTATGCTACTTGTAACCAAGTACGTGTGAAACAAGGCTAAGATCTAGAAATAGTAGGATAGGTATGGATGCATTTTTGCAACTTGAACACCATTTCTATCACTTCTGTAATTGTCATAGATGGGAAAGACACTTTTGTCCTTCGGGCTAGGCAGGTATATTTGAATCTTTAAGTTAAATATCTAAATTCTATAAAGACTGTATTAGAAAAGGCTTTTCTCCAATCAAGTGTGCCTCTGTTTTCATAAATGGATCAAAGCTGCTTAAAGCCATAATATGGAATTCATGTACATGCAGACTTGAAGGTGCCTGGTTCCAAAATTCAACTCTATTTCTGATCCTTAGTGTAGAGTTCAGCAACTTTCTTTGCTGGCTTCTGTCTCCTCCAAATTTGCTTCCCTGCCTCCTTTCCAACCTCTGTAACACTGAAGACCCTTTAATTGTGGGCCGTGAGCCCACTGTGTTGGGTCTGTTGAATGAAGTGCCTGCCTTAGCTTCAAGGCACTTTCTTACACTTCAGAAGTGTAAGACAATAGACAAACGCAGTGACTTTGGAAGCAGAGACCAGCCATTGTTGGCACCATGGACAGTCACCTTTGTCCCAGTGCTTATGATGAGCAGACAGGAATGGAAGGAGTTCAGAAATGTTTTCCTTCCTTTCCCTTAGGACCAGTTGTGCTAGCAGATTTATTTGGGCAACTTATCCAATGTTGGCACTGCTAATAAAAGCTCTGCTGCCTGCGCAGGATGCCTTATTTAGTTTCATGTGACTGTTCCAACAGTCATCTTTTTCTCTTAGATTTGCGTAGTGTGAGTAGCTTCTCAGTTCTGCCAATGCTAACAACTTTTAAAACAAACCAGTCACAGAATCACAGAATGGTGTAGGTTGGAAGGGACCTCTGGAGATCATCTTCTCCAACCTCACTGCTCAAGCACGGTCCTCTAGAGCATATTTCCTAGGATTGCGTCCAGGCAGGTTTTAAATATCTCCAGGGAAGGAGACTCCACTACCTCTCTGGGCAACCTGTTCCAGTGCTCTGTCACCCTCACTGCCAAGAAGTTTTTTCTCAGGGTTAGGTGGAATTTCCTGTGGTTCAATTTGTGCCCGTTGCCTCTTGTCCTGTTGCTGGGCACCACGGAGAAGAGACTGGCCCCATCCTCTCGACACCCTCCCTTCAGATACTTGTACACATTGATGAGATCACCTCTCAGTCTTCTCTTCTCCAGGCTAAACAGGCCCAGCTCTCTCAGCCTTTCTTCAGAGGAGAGGTGCTCCAGTGCCCTCATCATCTTTGCAGCCCTCTGCTGGACTCTCTCCAGGAGTGACATGTCTCTCTTGTACTGGGGAGCCCAGAACTGGACACAGCACTCCAGGTGAGGCCTCTCCAGGGCTGAGGAGAGGGGCAGGATCACCTCCCTCCACCGGCTGGCAACACTCTGCCTCATGCACCCCAGGAGACCA